TAAAAGGTAGCCGCATGTACAGAATTTAATAGCATTACTCCTTGTAATAAGGAGCATCCATGGATTCAAGCATTGCATCTGTTTTCAAGTTCAGCTTCTACCTACAAAAAGCATGGATATGTGCTGGCAGTTAATGAACACCTTGCTGTTTGAATCAACTGCAGTTTGCTTTTCAGGACTGGATAGGCTGTCCTAATCATGTTACCTGAGTGATATGTGAGGATAAAGATAAGGAAAAACATGAAAATCCTTAAGTACTAAATGGTTCCATATTCCTTGCATTTTTGTTTATATTGGTTGGAATTTGCAGGGATTGCATCACTTGAGTCCACACCTATCTCTTGCATGTTATTTGGCCCATGGCAGCTTTATTTGTTCCATAAAAGCCACCTGGGCCAACTAAACATGCATCCAATATATCTTCAGACCAGTAAATGTTGCAACATGGGTAGCCAGGCTGCCGAGTTTTATAATGCTTGCCAAATAAGTACGCATATTGACTGACTCTTGCACGAACAAAAATATGCAAAATAAGTCCCTTCTACCACAATTTTGAACAAACTTTTGTTTCACAACAGCTGGCAAATAACACTTTTGAAAATCTCATCAGGGTATCGGATCTGCATGACACATCAATAAAGCTGGCGTGCGCGGAGCACAAACACCGGTCGTAACACCACGATATTTACCTCATCTTGTTTGGTGACATATTTGTTATTTTTCAATATGAGCTCCTTAACTTTGTCCACATGACCTTCGTATGCCAACTGGCATATATCTTCTTTGCTAACCTCCATCTGTACCACCACACACGCTACCGCGCCGCTGGTTTGAAGCGCGCCGGTCGCGAATTGCGCCAGTCACGGAATCAAAACATCAAGATCGTGACAATTTCAGGGTTGGCACTAAACTAGTGCTATGAAACATTAGCGGGCCCATTTACGGCGCTTGCTGTGAGCAAACGATGAGTTCTGGCAGAAATGATGCAACGCTGAAGTCGTAGTCTTTTTATTGGAGATTCTAGGTTTCTAGATTTTTATGGAACTAGAAGGGCTTGCCTGTACTTTCCTGTTTCCAGTTTGCAACGCACGGTTGCCGTGCACTCTTTGTGGTAACTGGGCAAAGCCGGAGCGTTCTTTACCAGCACTAATGAATAATTCATACAATAATTTCCAGTTTAGAACGCCACATGAAACGCCATATGTTATATCCGGCTTATTGCAGTTAGTTTGCTTTTTATTATTTCGTGCACTCGCTATTCTCGTTGTTCGTTTCACCGCGAGGCAAAGAGGATCTCGATTTCACCGCAATGGATCCCGTCTACGGTAAACCACGGACTCTGCCCGGTGTCTTCTCCGACCGTTCGAGATTCTTCTCCGACCAGCCGGTGCGCGTCCCTCGCCGACACATGCGACCCCTCCGACCCACCGCCCACAGCTGCCGTCATCACGACCGTCATACGTGTTTGCCGGCCATGTTGACGCGAACCGCGACTTCAGCCGCCGTGATACGACCGGGCTCTCAACCGCCCCTTCCACGCGAGTAGTTCAACGCATCCCGCAGATCATGGCGCCACGGTGCGCGGGCAAGAAGGGCATCATCTCTGTAGGCCGTGTGAAGCCGACGTGCGTCGAACCGTCGGTTCCGACGCCGGCACCGACCGGCTCGCACCCGCCGCCGCCACCAACGCAGCCCAGCCTGCATTGCACCCAACGGCGTACGCACGTGTATAACGCCCGCGGAGACAGCTGCCCTTTCTCCTCACAAAATGTATTGCTGTATTGATATGCACGTGACTAAATATCAGTTTTTAACAGTTTCGGCTAGACGCGTGCAAGTAAGAATGTCGGAAACACGCGACACTGCATTAAGATAACGAGAAATTGCCCGTGCTTTTGGCGCTTTAACTCGGTTTTCAGCAGAAAATGTTGAGCAGTCCCACTCCCCTTCCAATGCGGAAACCTGCGTACGCCCGCCGGCCTGTCCCGGACCTCGCCCGATGCAGTGGCCTCACCGTTCGACCCGCTCGGACGCTTCCGACTGGGCCACATTCCCTGTTGGCAAAGTACCTTCCTGGCTTACTATCTATGAGGTCACAGATCCTTACGTCACACACAGGCGACCGTACTCCAAGCCGAAGAAGCTGTTGTGACATACGTACCTCTGACGCATAGCTTGCAGCTTTTGCCCCGTGTTTGGCAATGGTAACGTTTGGCGAAGTGCCCACAATTATCGGCAGCATAATTAACCAAACGCGGACCAATTTGCGCGCGTTCACCGGGCGTGTAACCGGCCAACAAGCTAATTACGAGTCCTGTTGCGTGTCATGGCTGACCAGTATGCATTCACAGCATGTATTAACGTATGATGCGTTCTCTTATTTCCACTTAATGGAGTTACCCACCTTTGGAGCAAAAAAAAATTAAAAAGCATACCTTGGTAAAATCTCCGGATCATTTACGTTCAATAATGTCACTGGTGAAAGCTACTACAGTTGCATCAATCTATACTAAGAATATAAATTCTGATTATTTTCGAGTCCAAGTTATGCTGTCAACACTTTGTACCAGCACTACACTTCTCCTTTCCTTGGTAGCCCCAGAATTTTGCTCGCGTCCACAAAAACTGCTGTTGTCGCGACCACCATCGTCATGACAACCGCCGTCGTCATGACGAATACAAAACCTGCTTGCGGTTGTCGGCTGCGATGGGTTAAAAGTATCATTTTGAGCTATTTTGGTGCGCGGACTGCGGGCTTGTTGGCTCAAAAGTGGCGCCACCACTCGTATCAACTACCTGACAAAGTCGGCAGGCCTGACTTTGGAAGTTACATCTTGATTGGCACCAAAAGATCCATCTCTAATTGTCTACAGCTATGCAAAAATTTTGAGCCGCTGCGCTGCGCCTTTCGGAAATGATTCTGGAAAACCTTCGGTGGGTTAAATTGACCCCTTCCCACCTGATCGCGTGTTAACACGCCATCAAGCATTCAGCGAGTACGCTCATCTCAAAGGATCAGGCCCAGTGCGCTATACTGAACTTAAAGGCTACCTAAATTACACACATTTTCAACTTAAGCTATGCTTTGGCGAAATAGGTTAAACCACCCTCGGAGTCCTCAAATATCCACCCCTTGACAGATGGGTGGATCTACGCCTTGGCGGAAGCAGGTGGAAGTCCAGGAAAACACATATGGAGGTGAGTTTGATGTATTTCATGATGAAATGGAGAACAAGCTGCATTGCTGTGCATCGGGCCGGAACCGTACTTCAAATCAACCATTTCGATAAGACGAGTGTTGTGCACGTTTCCTATCTATGTGCAGTTTTCAACCGATCCCAGGTCATGACGACTTTGAGAGGAAGCAGCAACAGATTTCCAGACAATATACCAGTAAGCGGAACTGACCGATGACATACAAATCTGCAAGAAAAACAGTTATGCATGGCAATCGGTTGAGCAACGACAGCAAATACCTTTCATATCATAAGGCGCCGAAAAGAAATGTTAAGGGCCTATGTAATTTGCGCCCGGTATGTACCGTTGTTAGCAGCAGCTCAAACACACGTTGATCAAGCACTTGGGAGCATTACATGTGGTTAAAATGCACATCTCCACGGCGCCAAGCCATCTCCATTTGCAGGATAATCAGCGTTCGCTTGCGCGCGAAGTTTCGTCGTGTCTTGGGTCAGCTGATCGGGGAGCCGTTTCCCGCTACTCCTTCACCGGTGTCAGCTCTTCCTCGGGGATGGGTTTGTCGAGGCAGTTGACTTGGCCGTTTTTGTGGCAGTAGCAATGGATGTGCGGGAATGGGTTGAAGAAACCCGGCGGGTAGTAACCGGCGCCCCATTGTCCTTGCCAGCCCTCGAAGTAGCAGCCTGTAACGGACGACAGGCGTGGCGTACAACGATGACGATGTGTTTATCGGTCCATGGACGCCTGGCACTGCACGACGGCCGCAGTCGGGAGCGTGATGGGGCAGCAAGACGCCTGGAGAGGCGGGCTGATATGCATAAAGGTGAACAAGGCTTGGATGCAGACGGAGGGAGAAGAAAAGTTGCGTCAACGCGTATGGACGGAAACATCTGAACGGTTGTCGGAAGAGAAACCTGAACGGGGCACACCCGCAACCGGACTACCAAGTTCATGTAGGGCTGTTAGCTAAATTATGTCCTTTTCATTCATCATCTCAAATTTTAAAAAAAATTCAATTTTTTTTCAATTTCAAAAATTTCAATTTCAAAAAATTTCAAAATTAAAAAAAAATCAAATTCATCATTTCAACATCAAAAACATTCAAGTCAGTTGTTCAGAGCGCGATAATCAAGCCTCTCAAAAGTCAAAACACGCCTAATTACGAAACGAAACCCGCTTACATTCGGGACGAACTTCATGCACTGGGTATCCGTCGTCGCAAATGATGCGGTGACAGTCGTCGAAGAGGTGGATGACATCTCCGTGGTCAAAATTTTCGCCGTTCACCACGCATCCGCGCTGATCGCAGGGGACCTTCTTCACGAAGCAGATCGGCTTCAGGGCGTGGTCTGCCCCGTCGCAGGGCAGCGCGCTCCACGCTCGGTCACCGGAGGCGATGCCCAGACACTTGTCAGCTGCGGAGAGGGAACGATAGAAGGTGTGGTGACGACTCCGGAGACGGGACCGCTGCTGCGCGGAGCCGAAGACGTCAAACTACTGCTCGTGCACTGGGATGGTTTGTAAGAGGCCTGGAAGAGACAAACCCGGGAAAACAGGCACAAATTGGCTCATTGACTTCATCGCCATTTTTGAACTTTTGTAGCGCTGTCACAACAAAACAGAAATAAAGAATGCCACAGTTAGCATAGGATTTTAACGCAGTTCAGCTAAAACTTAAAATCGGGTCTAAATCGGGTCATTGCATCACGTACCACGCCATTCCGCATGTACTCCCTTCGTAATGCCAAAAAAATGCATTCCCAATCGTAACAACATATCGTAGCATTAGGTTTCATGCAACCCATTTACTCGTGCACTGTATTGCAACACATGAAGAACTGACATCAGAGGCTACATTGAAATGGGTTCTGCTGAAAACGCTATCATTTTCAACGAACACACCACAAAAGGATCACTGCCCAAACATTGTAAAACACCCTCGTTTTCGGCATCCGAATCCGCCGCAGCCGTGTTACCGGTGCCGTTGGTGGGCTGTCCGGGCGCCCATGGCGACACCTTCCACGCGCGTCCGCTGGTGTCCGGCCACTTGCCGTTGCTGGCCCCCAGCCAGCCGCCGGCGCCGCGTAGCCCGTCGGCGATCATCTCGTTGTCGTCAGGCTTCAGCGGCACGATCAGCGAGCCGCCGAGCAGGTGGCAGATCTTCTGGGCGTCGGGCCAGCTCATGATGACGGGCCAGAAGTAGATGCAGAAGTCGTCCCAGGGCGTGGAGCCCGCGGGGCACGCCCCTGCCGGAGGGCGGGACCGGTGGGGGTGAGTGGGCAGTGGTGGCGTTCCTGCGGTGAGGGGATGTCGGGAGACGATAGAAATGGCTTAAATGGCTTTGCTCCCTAGATGCATGCGCGCGTTTTCTGTTGATACCGTCCCTGATGCCGGCTCCTAATATCGCAAATGCGTTGGAGTTCAGACGGGCTTATGCCTTGTGGGGAAGCCAGGGCAGCATAGAAAAATGCATGCACAAATGCTACGAGGGAGGCCATGTTTCCTCAAGAACGTAGAAATTATACCGTTTTTCGCATTCCTCACACTTGCGTGAAGAAACGGGTTCAGCCACTTCAGTATCGATTTCTGGACCCCCTCATGTCACCTGCCACGATATCCTGGATATCGTGGATATCGTGGATATCCTGGATATGGATATATTTTGCGCTTGCCACGCAATATTAGCTAGAGTCTACCTACAGGTGTCTCCAGGCGCTTGCGGTAGTTTTTCCCAGGTTCCGTTGTTGCACTGGATCCTTTCGCATTCATTCAGATGGATGATATGGTCATGCTCATATATCCGCCCCTTGAACTCGCAGCCTGTCGAGAGCAAAGTTACTTGCAGCGAAGTTGTAGGTCTGGCAGAGTTGCATGTACAACAAATCGCGGGGTACGGAATTAGGTTGGGCCAGCTGCTGGGCTTATAACAGTTGCGAAGTGAGCATGGAATATCGTCATGGCGATTAAGCGCATCCAGATTGAACTGGCTGCAAAGCAGAACTGAACTGCCAACAGTGACAAAACCTTGTTTACCAATACAGTCAAGCAAAAGCAACAGTGAATCGCCTCCAAAGATGGTCGGAAGGTTTACATCATCGCACGCGACACGTGTCAACAGCACGCGCGGGTCCCGCGGCCGCGTCTCCTGCTTCCTCTCAACGCTTACAGTTGCATTCCTTGCTGATGTGCTTTATGCGCACGGACGGCCACAAAGACGGCGCCTTGCGCACACAGTGGACTTCATAGCACTTCTTGGCGTTGGCTTCAATGATGCTGCCGACTGCGTACCATTGTCCCCGGTATCGGCAGCCTGCAACAGTGGCGCTGGAGAACAAGAAGCATGGCCGATCCGCAGCACAGCATTGGCACGAAATGAGAACATGTCCCATGGCCAAACGCGTTCCACATTCCCTGCAATGTGGCGTATCCTGCCCGGACTAATGACAGGAATCTGTAGCGTGTGTGTGTGTGTGTGTGTGTGTGTGTGTGTGTGTGTGTGTGTGTGTGTGTGTGTGTGTGTGTGTGTGTGTGTGTGTGTGTGTGTGTGTGTGTGTGTGTGTGTGTGTGTGTGTGTGTGTGTGTGTGTGTGTGTGTGTGTGTGTGTGTGTGTGTGTGTGTGTGTGTGTGTGTGTGTGTGTGTGCCGCCCATAATCAGCAAAGAGCAGCTTCTTCAGGCCTCTTGAAAGCGGTGGAATCGTAAGTTTATCTCCCTACCAGCAACTTACTTGTGCTCTCAAATAAAAACGCTTTCTGCAAATAAACGTAGTCGTCATGGAAAAGTGACTGGCGCGCCAAAATAATAAAAACATTCCAGCGGAAAGAAAATTACTTACCGAACGCGAGGGGATCTTGGGGACAGATGGGCCAGAATCCGTACTTAGAGGTGCACTTGTGGAAAGCGGCCAAGTTTCCGCTGTACCAATGGGGGCAGCATTTAGCTTGTGCTTCTGTCGAGGAAAAACACATCTGTCATCCAGCTGATTCGCCAGCTGTATGCGTGAAAGAAGCGCATCTCAGTGCGGCACCAAGATAGCAATGCGGGCAACGAGGTGTCATACCAGAACTCATCGAGCATACACCAGCTCCAACGCAGACGAAGCACGCCATCAGCAAAACTTTCGATAAGTTAAGAGCCACTAAAAACGGGCTCACCGTTGGGGCTGGGGAATTGCGCGGACGATCGCAGCGCGCAGCCGAGAACAATCAGCACGATCGCCGTCGAGAACATCTCGCCGAGACAGCTGTATGGTCTCGTCTGAAACGCTGCAGGTGATCGCATGTGAGTCTGGCGGCTCGGCCGGGAGCAGATATCTCCTGACGGGCCGGTCTCGAAGGTTCGGGGGAGACATCTCCAGACGGGCCCGCTTCGAGGGACAGAGGGGAGACATCCCCAGACGGGCCCGTTTCGAGGGACAGAGGGGAGACATCCCCTGACGGGCCCGCGTCGAGGGTCAGAGGGGAGACATCCCTAGACGGGCTGGTCTCGAGACACCTTGCAATGCACGCCGCGGGCATGCTGAGCTTGCTTGAAGATGCATCCCCTCCGCTTGTGCATGGTGTCCTCCCCTCTAGACCGGCTGGAATGCGCAACAGCCGAACAGTAACAAACATAGCAATCACTGCTGAGCCCACGAGTTGGGATACCGGAAAATGCAACGTGTGTTACCGCTCGTAAGCCCATGCCGTGACTACGCTGCCCGAACAGCGTATTTGTGCGTACAGTTCCGTCAGCACGTGTCGAATAGTATTGAAGGTATATGCGGTCCTATGCAAGCGACGAACCGGTAACGGCAAGTGTATCAAACGTTTTTGAATAATTCCATGTCATGCCTCACACAAACTTGCGCCGGTTTACGCACACCGACCCTAAAGCTGGCTGCGCATGCGCGTGACGCATGCACACTGCATGACTGGCACATACAGAGCAATTTATATAGAAGTTTACAGAAAAGCTGCACTCACCGGCAGGAACTACCAGCAAGCTGGGGAGAAGAAGAGAGATGCTGCTCAGCCGAACTCGTATGTCGCAATGTGGCAGCAGGCGGATGGGGTCGCTTTTCACTGCTCAGCACAAGGCCAGCACACGTTTCGCTAACGAGACAAAATTGACTACCAAATAGCGCTGATGACCAGGATTCAACACTCTTGTCTGCGCTCCGCTTCCACAGAGATGTAAACGTAAATTGGCCGTGACGGTGTGTGGTGATTGCAATAGCCTTTTGTTTGACATTGATGTTCAGCCCGGCCTGTGTGTCATCCTCGACAATGAGATCATATCCGCTCATATGATGATTACCGTTTCTGCTTGCCTGCAACTGCGCACAAATGTCATAAGTGCGCATTATTTTAATCGTCCTCATGGGTGATGCAAGTGACTGTGCCACGCACCCCTCTACCCCATATCCCCCTAACCCCTCTGCCTGGTCTGTGGTCCTACTCAAACAAGTGCTTGGCAGAAGAGTCGTGATGATTGCATACCGCGACTCTCCGAGCTCGGATAAATGCCAACGAAATTGGTTTTGCTTTTTGTTTCTAGCGTTTAACTTTCACTGCTAGAATGTTCTTCTATTTCTCCTACTGCTCAGAATGTCCCGGATTTGGCTCGGAACTCGAGAAGACACGAGTTGTTTGTATTTGCTGCCCCTTCCCGTCCCCTCCCCCCCCCCCCCCCGTTCGCCGCAGTACCACACAATTGTGTGACGTTTCATGGAACCAATGTAACTGAGTGAAAATTAGGTTCAAAAACTGCCATCGGCCACAGTTCCCAGTTTTTGGGGGGAAGGAAATCTGCTGTGCGTAAAAGCACACACGTAAGGTTGTTGCTCAAACTGCTGTTGCCTAGCGGCTACATAAAAATTATATATTTATTAATCTTTCGTACAATTAGCTCAACCGTCCTCCTTAAATGCATGTCCGGTGTCAGTCCCGACGCTCGGCAGCATTGTTGCATGATTCATGGCCAGGCGTCCCACTTTCCAAAATCGGCTTGGGGGGGGGGCTCATCCAACAGGTTCGCCATAATCTAACCCCCAAAATGATTACTCGACGAATTTAGGCAGGTTTAAGCTACGTCCCGTGGTCTCAATATATTTTGTGTTATTGTCATTAAGATATACTCAGTCTCTGAAATGTATCATTTGTGCTCACTCAACTATAACTTTGCTGTGGGGAAGCAGCGCATTGGACTTTGCGATTTGATTTGCCTACCACATTGCATCGCATTTGCCTGCTCAGTGCAAGCCGATGTTAAACTGCAATTGTGTTAGAAGCTTGGCATGGGCTGGAACGCACAGCCAAACATGTAAATAAAACAGCGTGACATATTCGACGAAGCGGGTTTCGTTTATGGTTCATCGAATGTGAAACAAAAACGATGGGTGCATGCAGAATCAGAATGATGGTAAACGTTATTTGTGAAGCGATGCAAAAGTTGCATTTGATGGCACAAACACCGAGCACTCCCACCGCAACGCTACATTGCTGGATTCTATCCATGAACGGTCTGTGGGCAGAACCAGACCATGTGTCGCCCCCACCGACCGAGGGTATTCGTAGGGTGGTAACTGCCCGGCGACCAGGCGCCGGTCGGGCGCCGGTCCGGGGCCTTATCTGCACGTGTCGCCAGTCGGGGACTGTCCCTGTGGTGGCGCTGCGTCCGGCTAATCTTCGGTGTTTTGCAGCGGCGGCGGAAGTCAGCAACAGCGGGCGCGACTGCGCCTCTCATTCCATACACTACGTTCCATGCACTATGACATGGACACTACAGTCCATGCGCATGCACATTCCATACACTACATTCTATGCGCATGCACATTCCATACACTACATTCTATGCATTCCGGTACATTTCATGCACTATGAGATGCTGTTTCAGTTTCGAAAGTGTTTGTTGAACACCACTATTTACTTTTGAAGAATACGACATACACTTATTTCTGATTCGGTGATTTCCATTTGCATGTGACAAAGCAGGCTCGGGAGCAGGCCTAATAATCAGATATCTCTAACCCCAAAATACACCTTCTCCCAGACATTTAGGCTGTTCGCGTGACGGCATTGTCAAACATTGCGCCTAACAACATCCGTTCAATTCATGGTCGATGCGGTGGCTCAGCGGGACTTCACAAAGGCGGAGACGAGGCTTGACTTATTTTTTAGGGTAAAAGAGATCGTGCTAAAAAGACCTGAGAAGTGGCCCCGCTGAAGAAATCGTTCTTAGCTAAGCATGTAGAAATTCTTGCCATTCAGCCACTCACTCCATATCGTTCTCTACGCCAGTACTCTTTTCTCTACTGCACTTCACTTTACACTACTGTAGCAGTCTACTCTAGTATTCTACTTAGTAGCATTCCAATCTTTGTGCTGCAATAATTCAGCCGAGTGTTGGGACTGATCCATGCGACGACGGGGGTCTCTCGACTGGAGACTCGCTTCGCTCTCACTCAAGAGTCCCACTCAACGGGAATCAAATGCGACCTGAGAGTGTTTGATCTTGGCAGTGTTTTAAATCATGGCGGCCCTTTCACGATAGCGATATTGAACAGAGCTGAAGAGCACGCAAGGCAATATACACAGGAGTAAAACCAATGAAATGCTCTCAGGTCAACAAAAGCAGTCGGCATGTTTTACTGGGGAAGCGTTTTTGTTTCTTCGCCACGTACCTATTTGTCATTTCACTGCTCGGTTCTCTTTGATATTGTTCCATGGAACCAAATTTGTAAACGTAAAATGAAGAAAAGTACATTTATGGCAACGACATTACGACGATTCGGCAGCCAAATTCACTAGTTATTTCGGCGACGAAAATAATCTAGCTGTAGTAATCTAATCTGAATAGCACAACCTTGCGGCAGCAATGCTCGTCACTCTCCGTCCTGACCCCTGGCGTTACCTGACCTCCAGCATGACCGCTACCACCAGCCGCCAGCTATCCCAAACAGGAGCAAACAGCGAACGCCTGAGGCGGCTCAGATCCCCCCCCCCCCCCCCCCGTCACGGATGAGTGGATGGAAAGGTAAACGTTCTAACCAACTGCGTCATAGGGGACTGACGGCGGTTTTCGGTACAAATTAATGCCGTAAAATGCGTATTAAAAGCAGGACATGCACACAAACCTCATTATTGAACAGCACGCAGATGCCGCCAAATACGCAACGCACTGGTGGATTTCCTACAATGATTTGCTTCCACGTCTTAGCAGCACACAGTGAACGTTTGCGTAATGCACACGCGAACAGCTGCTCCGACGTTAAAAAAACGAAAGCATTCATCACGGATGGTCAAGGCTCTTGCTTCTGGGGGGGGGGGGGGGGGGGGGGACGAATAAATCTGTGCTGTTTGTGGCAAAGTGACAGGGAAGGTTTGGAATATTTTTTTGTTGCACTCGGAGGTAAATGTAAATGGAAAATCTATATTAACAACCGTAACTTACGTCATGTTATCTAAGCTTCATAAGCATTTATTTGCTTGTTGCCAGATTCACCAACCACCTCCATCTTCAATAGAAGGAATCATTTCTGCGAGTTGCCAGACTGACATTTCTCCAGCCATTTCGATCCACGTCTGTTTTTTTACATTTCTGAAGTCTTGAGTACGCATTTTGGTAAAATGTGCTCGATATATTTCAGTTCAGTCTCTATAACCATTTTTTTTACAATAATGCTCATCCGCAAATTGATTTACCCAGTGAAAAGATGTGCAAACTACTTTGGGGATACCAGACGAAGGACATGTGAACGCCACCAAAATGTGTACTGTGGATGCCCGATATCCTTATCGCACATCATGACTTGATCCGCCCAAAGGCACGCTTCATAAAATGCATGAGGGCTGCCAGGGCCAGAGCATGTGAGAAAGTTTTAATTGTTTACCTGGGATGTCTGCTTTGAGTGTCATCCTAACGAAAATACGTGCCGAATCATCACTGGCGGCACAGAAGCGATCCCCAGTCCTAAACATGTAATCCCGTTACTGTGATTCACGGCCCAAAATGACGGCAACGCAACGATTAACTGGATTAAATGAAACGTCCGCTTGTCCGGCAACGCTGGTGGATCCGTCACGTAGTCATGCATGGTGCTTGGGTACGTGAATCGTCGAAAAGCCCCGCGCGTCCGCAGCCTGAACGGCGTGGGAATGAAGGCCAACCCGCTGTGGCGCAGGAGTGCAAGGTCAAGGTCAGGGGCCCCACGCGGTTGTGACGTGGCACAATGATGCTCGGGTGAGCCGTCTCGGGGCTTTGGCGCACAGTCCGTGTTGAGTTCTCACGCACGCGCCAAAAGTTCTACCTGCTGGATCTAAAGCCCGCGCTAGACGTGGCTCCGTAGAAGCTTATGAATGACGTAGACAATTGTTGAACAATGCGAAAACATAAGCGAGGCGAGGGAAAGGCTGAGTTTGAATCCCGGTTGCGCCATGTCCCTGAGCGCTAATATGGTCAATGCCGTCGCTGCCGCTCCATAGAGGAGCGTGACAACGTGCGTCACGTTTTCTTGACAAAATGATTCAAACTGCACTGGCTTTGACTCAATTTCACACATGCCTCCCACGCTTTGGAGGCTTTTAAAGCCTTGGAGGCTGTCCGAAGTACTTCGCAAAGACCAATGCTCGGCTCCCAATGGAGTTAAGATCAATTCTGAACTCAACCGACGATGCGGTTGCTTGGAGGCGGAACGCTTGCTTTGAAAATGTGTAGGAGTCCAAGCCAAAACTGAGTGAAACATCTTGTAAGCCGCCGGAATCAATAATGCAGCATGAAACATACGTAATGACATGTATATGAAATGGCTTGCTGTGCAGGAAGTAAAGTACTGAGCACCGCCGGGTATGCATCGAAATTCCTTTCTGCGCTTTCTGTGTGGACGATAAAACGTAGGGCTGTGTGTTTCCCTGCAACCATAGCACATACAATAATGTACATGGCCAGATTACGTTGAATTGTATTGCTGCTATTGCATATATTGCATGCTAGCAGCATGCATTGCTTCCTTTCAAAATGCGCTGCTTTTGCAAGGCCATTTGGGCAAATATGCAGGATATTCATATGCGGGGTGTTCCATTAGCATCAAGTTACAAATGGATAGTTGTTTACCCATACCTGCTAACACAAAAAGTTGAGTGATTTCGATATTTGGCGACCGCTGAATGACCATAGCGATGGGAGATAGTAGGTTAAACAGTAACCGCAGGTATGAAACGCCAAGACTGCAGCCAAGACTGCAGAAAAAAACTCGCGTTACAGGCAGCGACAACAGGACCAGGAACACGTGGACAGGGAGCGGCTACAGATTTTATTCACTGCTAGCCTTAGGATTGGCATTCTGCCACGTGTGCGCGGAATTATCATGCGCAAATGTCGTCTTTGGCACTGACAAGATAGCTCCCAATCTCCATAACTCACAATCCTCAATCCTGGACATTCATACTACGCATTCGAGAAGGGCACCAGGTTGTTTTCGTGATGTGGTGTTTATAGTTAAAGGGCAAAAGGTGACTACAAAACGAAATCACACTTTTTTGTTGAGGTCATTTCTCAGAAGTTATTTTTGATAAAAATGTCTGTCTGGGGATCGGTTAAGTCGGCATTTTTCTACGAAATAATTCTTTAAAATCAAAGAGAAGTTGTGGCTCATTCCTCTTTCGCATCTGCGACTCTTGCAGAAAGTTGTGCGTCGTTAGGGTCTTTGGTTAATATTTTGTTTTTGGGTAGCGCTAGTGCGAGGCTTACCAGCTCTGCCAGTATTCTGCCGCCCTGTATGCTTCGGGCCGGCTGGAGTGTGGTGCGTTTCCCCTGGTCCAGTGACGGTGAGCGGCCTATCCACCAGAACTGGGCTGGGCTTCGGATCGAGTCGGAATCAACTGGAGAATACGCCACAATTCCGCTGGTTCAGAGTGAGGGGGATTTGTCTGGGATTTTTGCTGTATGCAGAGTCGGAGGCGAGTCTGTCGAGTTCTGGACAACTCAAGTCAAACAAAAGTGTGAGATACATCATCCACTCAGAGCTGAACATAATCTTTTATACCCAGTGGATCATCGTCATATGTGCTATGTATATTTTGCTACGGATGCAGTTAAATGTGTGCAATCGTGCCACTTTCCAAACAACTGTCTTCTTCAGGTATTTATAAAGCCCACAGAATCTATGGAAACCAAGTGAGTGACCACTATATACGCAATATATATTTTGCTAGCGTCGCAGCAAACTGTGTACAACCGTGTAAGTTTCCAAATAACTGTCTTGTTCATGCATTTATAAAACCTATAGAGCGTGCTGTCTACTAGGCTGTCGCAGGGGCAGATCAGACGGAGGAGGGGGAGGGGGGAGCACGGGCCATCGCCTTCCCCTTGGGGCCCCGGAGGGGCTCATAGCCGGCCGAACAGACGCAGTTGTTTAACGCAACGGCAAAGAAATTGGTCGTCTTTGGGCCCCAAGGCAACGAAGAAAAGTCGCAAGGGAAAGTGTGAACCCACGAGTGGACACAAATAACGTACGCTGGTTAAGAGGGTGATGGTTAGGAGATTTTCAGGCTTCTTACGGTGTCCAGAGACTTTTAGCCGTTGCTGTGGGCCTTATGGGTCCACTTACACAGTCAATACTATCGCTAATGAGTCGTCCATGCTGCCTTTTTTGCATCTGCTCGGAGGGCCGAACGCTGTTGATGGGCCCTATATGCTAGCATGTCGGGCCCTCTTGTCAATCAGGAGCCTTCCACGGATTCTTCCCATTCGTCCGAAAAGCTCTATACGCGATAGTCGGGTCCCATATGTCAACCTGCCAAGGTATTCTCCGTTGCTCGGGGCCCCCTCACGTTGGTCTCGGTTAGCCTACCGTCAAACTCGCGATATACTCATGGGCCCCCTGCATTGCTTTAGAACCTTTCAAATTCTCTGCCACTTGCTTGGGGCCATATGCCGTTATCGGGCCCATATGCTAGCTTGCTTGGGCACGCCCGGTCATTCGAGGCCCTCCAAATTGGATCGTGTGTACTTTACATTTGAATGGAGGGCCCTTTACACTTGTCGAGGCCCCATCTGTTAACCTGCTCGAGCGCACTGGATCGTTTGGGAGCCCTGCATATTGGGTTTTGGCATTTGAACGTAGGGCATTACTCCCCTGTCGGGGCCACCTGGCCTTCTCGTGCACCTACTTGATCTCTCGAGGGCCCTCTGCACTGGGTCTTGGGTATTTCCTATTTGAGTGTAGGGCCCTACGCTCTTGCCGGGGGTCCTGTCTATTAACCTGCTTAGTTGCGCTCGATCGTTCGGGGGCCCTCTACTTTGGGTCTTGGGTACTTCCTGTTTAAATACAGGGCCTTACGCCCTTGTCTAGGGCCCCATCTGTTAACCCGCTCGGGCACACTCGACCATTCCGGGGCACTTCATATCGTGTCTCGGGTAGTTCTCATTTGATTGGATAGCCCTATGTTCTTGTCAGGGCCTCATTTATTCAAGGGAATGTTATTTGCTTAACTTAGCTATCTGCAGCCTAACTTTGCATTTACCATCAGCCATCAGCTGATCACAACGACCAGCCCGGTAACCGTAAGTAAGCTAGGAATAAAGGTCGTATTCGACTCGTATCCCATTTGGCAGTCAACTTTAGCTTATTTTGCGATGCTATTTCTTCTTTTTCCGAAATACTTAGCCTCAAAATCATGATCTAGAGACAATGAATAGGCATGTGCATACGTAGCACGCCCAACATTTTCTAAAGCCTGCACAGTATGATGGGCTCCCATATATAAAAGGCATACTAAGACTATTACAATTCATTGGCCTGAGTGCGAAGATTTTCCTTAGGGGTAGGGGAAAGCTCTAGGGGGCCCATAATGCGGCGGTTCTCCAACCGCTAAGCAAAACTGCGCCTGTATTTCCTGACCGACTCCTGTCCACCTATTCTTAATAGACTCCAACATCGTACACGCACATTTTGTGCCGCTCCAAGGTGCGTTGCCGGTTCGGTACGCCGGGGGGGGGGGGGGGGTACACATGACGCACAGCGCTAGCTCAAGCTCAGCCCAGCCAACACAGTCCAGCTCAGCCGGTCGCGAGCAGGACGTCGCGGAGCCCAGGACGGGCTATCGCTGGCACGTCCGGTGACCGCCACCCAACCAGCCCCAGGACCTCTCCGCGAGGCGCGGACGCTCGCCCGACAGACGAGGCGCAGCGGCCGGTCTGACCAGCGGGCCGCTCGCACGCCGTTCAGTCCGGGAGAGGCGCTGCTGGAGGCTCGGAGGCTGAGGTTGTCGGCCGGTAAGCCGGCCGGAGTTTACGAAACCACCGGCAGAGGACAGACGGCAGTCGGAAGTCCGCCGCAGGACAACAGCCGGTGGGCTGGCGCGGGCCGCGGTAGTGGGACGTCAGTTGCTATTGATCACGTGACAGTTACACTCATCAGTTGCGGACAGCCGGGAGCCGAGGTCATCGGTGAGGATAGGCAAGGCCTTAGCATTGGAAAGTCAAGATAAGCAGCGGGTTGAGAGCCGAAGTCATCACGCAGTGAGCAGCGAGAGACTGCGAGTCGCCGGCTGCGGTCTGTCCTCACGTCCGGGTCATCAGCAGTGAACAGCTCCTCAAGTCCGGGCCATCGGCAGTGAACAGCTCCTCACGTCCTGGTCACCAGCTGCGGTCTGTCCTCACGCCCGGGTCGCCAGCTGCGGTTTGTCCTCACGTCCGGGTCACCAGCTGCGGTCTGTCCTCACGTCCGGGTCACCAGCCGCGGTCTGTCCTCACGTCCGGGTCGCCAGTTGCGGTTTGTCCTCACGTCCGGGTCGCCAGCTGCGGTCTGTCCTCACGTCCGGGTCACCAGCTGCGGTCTGTCCTCACGTCCGGGTCATCAGCAGTGAACAGCAAGGAGGCGAGTCTGTCAGCCGGAGGACGGCTTGGCAGCTCAAGACAATAGCGCAGCGGCTGCACTAGGCATTTAAACAGCTGCGACTTGTCGACGCTCTCGTGTCTGGAGCCGTCTGCCCTCGCCACTGGAGTTCCCAGTGATGTGCGCGCTAGGCTGGTCGGCGGTGTGTGTGGTTTGGATGATGACGTCGACGGTGGAGAACGCCCGGCCCTCGCTCTGCTCCCTGCCGTGCTGCGAGTTCACACCGGACTGCGAAAGCGCAACAACTGTGAACTGCACCTGCCCCAGCATAACGCATGTAAGATATCACGCTCCCCGACGGCCTGCTTTTGGGGATTGATCACGAAGCAGATGTTCTAGTAAAGCAGGTCTCGACTCGGGAAGCTCCAGTGACTGGTACCTGCCTGGTATTCAGAGCTCAGCAGGCTGCAGCAGTGCGCACATTGCGGGGACTGAGTGCTTCCGAGCGCGTGCTGTACCTTTGAGAAGGTTCTGCTTTCGAGGGGGTGCTTTCGAGCGGGTTCTGTGCTTCCGAGAGGTTGTTTCCGAAGGTGTGCCGTGCTTCTGAAGGGATGATGTGCTTCAGAGGGCTTGCCGTGCTTTCAGGGGAGTGCTGCACTTCCGGGGGCTGCTGCGGCTCTGAGGGGTGCTGTGCTTTCTAAGGGATGCTCTGCTCCGAGGGATGCTCCCGAGGGGGTGCCTTCGAGCGGATGCTCTGCTTCCGAGGGGTGCTATGCTTTCTAAGGGATGTTGTGCTTCCGAGGGATGCTTTCAATGGGATGCTTTCGAGCGAGTGCTGTGTTTCCTAGAAGGTGTCATGCCTCCGAAAAGGTGCTGTGCCTCCGAGGGGGTGCTTCCGAGCGGGTGCTGTGCTTCCGAGGGGTGCTCCCAAGGGGATGCTGGCCGTGACTTCATTGTCTAGATCGGTGTGAGTGGCATGACGGGCCTTGATGATCATTTAATACCATGATCATTCATCGCGGACCATGTAAATATTTGCAGATGTTGAAACTAACGCATATCTATGACCAGGAAAGCAGTCAAGACATAGGCATCGGTGTTATCGCGTCTGCGTCAGACATGCTCCCGGGCCTTTTTAAAATGTTTCGAAAAGCTTCGGTACGACGAAATCCAGCATTACTGATGTCTGTACAAGCATGGTCTTGCTTATTGCCAAGAAACTACCATTGTATCAACAAATTAGTCCTTAAAAGCATGTCTTGAATCCCCGCGAGGCATTTCTAGCCGAAAATCGTCGCATAGACGTTGTGTTGTTAAGAAAATACGCGAGTAAACCAGGACACATCTGATTAAATGTTATCGGACAATTTTCGTCGGCGCGAAATGCCACGCACCAGTCTGCACCATCCATAGTCTGTCCGTTTGCCTGTCGCTGGCTATTAAAGGAAATGTTTGCCTTTTGGAGATATTGGAGCAAGCATCAGACATGATGAAACAATCTCACTTATAATTAGTGGCCTACTTTTCAATAGAAAAAGATTGCTCTAGACACCACAATTTTCTGCTCAGTACATGTGCTGATCAATGAGACACGGTTTGACTACGTTATCGCACCTTGCTCAACACTGATTGAGTGCCAATAGACGGTCGCTTTATCTGGAAATCCCGCTCACGAACTCCAGATATGAAGGCCGCGACAATAATATCTTTCTTGGCTTTGATCGTCGCATGGCTTATGGAATGGTAGGATTTGAAAGACACCATTACGACGCCATGAATGGTGACCGTAACTTCAAAATACTCTCCCCCACATACTTTTCCCCTTCTACGAATGTGTAGCTCAGAAACTAGATAGGATTAGGTCTTAAGAAGGGCAGGGTTGTGAGCAACAAAGAAAGGTCCTCAATATGTCTATTTCGGTTGAAAACCCCACATAAACGTGGAGTACTCCAGTTGATAGAGGTGATCTCCAAAAACATTTCATGTTTTGACATTTTATTTCCTAGTCCATCACATCCTGTCAGCTGTCAAAACCACCATAGACGCACGTGAAATTTCTCCAAACGGTCCGGAAAGTGGCACCCAGCTGAAGTAATCTGTGAATATTTGACGTCACAAAACCACGGGCGGCCGGCCGATGCCGACGAGGTTGTGGGTATACCACAACAAAAAAGGTATGCTCGAAGTTTTCGGTATGTAGTTGCAAAACGTTTTGGGGTCGGGTATTGGAACTTGCTTTTTATGGAACTTATGGAACTATGCAACTTTCAAATGCAAGACCCTAGTGTAATTATTTTCTGCTTCAGTGGAGGATGAAGAGGAACATACTTCTGGCTCTGGGCCACATCGTGCCGCCTCCGCGCTGCCATAGAGGCTATTTTCAGGTGTTTTCAGCCGGCAGGCCGGACACCCATATGGATTCTGAGAAGCTTTATGGGCAGGCACTAAACGTGTGAATGAAATTTGGTTGGGAAAGGGTGCAAGATTTCTTCTCATCTGCGTTCCGTCCGCTTTTCATTAAAAATAAATATTGATCGGAATAAACAAAATTTTGAACATTGCTGAGAGCATCCAAACTAATTACTCCTTGAAGTAAGTTCAAAAAAGTGCTGCGTAATCCAACCCCAACGAGAAAAGACTGCATAAACAACAGCTTGCAGCAAGCAAAGCTCCCATAAAAAGGAGCTCCAAATGCCACTGTTTTTGGACACAACTGGACATTCCGAAAACACGCTAGGACAGGTAGGTGGTGACTTTCGCTGGCAGAAATTCTCATCACGTTGTTTTCAATGATCGACTGGTACAGGTTTGATTGAAGTTGTGGACACGTCGTGCTATGTGCAAATTACGATACATTTGTGGACATAAGAGCCACACAAATTCTTACGAGTTCCCTCCTTGTTTCAGCCGCTCTCTCTGTCCGAGGGCTCCGTCCCACTGTCTTCGAAGAACATTGTGATTTTTAGGACAGCCAACGTCACCATCAGCCAACATGCCATATACGGCCTGCAAACGTTAGAAAGGCTTGTGCTCAGGCGAATAACCAATTTATCGATTCGGCTCAAGGGTCTGCGGCGGCAGACGCACGGACGCAAGTTTTTGCTTCAAGTTCACTACGTCACTGGGCTGCACATACTGCAGTCTTCCCTTACCGGTGGCTGGCATCAAGATGCCGAGATTTCCATCCAAAATATTAAAGTACTAGAAATGGAATCTAAAGCCTTTGACTTTGCCACATCAACCGGCCCAAGGTTGAAGGTAAGGAACGTCGAGCGTTTAGTAGCTTCTTCAGATGCTTTTCAAACACGGATTAGTGAAATGTCCGTAGTGAATGTCGACATGCCGGAATGCCGAAAACGAACATTTAGAGGTAGCATTTGCCATTTGGAGGTCAGAAATCTACGGATTGGTGCTGCAAAGGAAGGGTGCGTGAATGGGTCCATGGGCTGGTCACACCTCGCTCTACACTCCTGCGATATTCAACGAGTGCATCCCTCCGCGTTCTTCGGCACCATCCAGGACGTGGTAATAAATGGCACCACCGTGAAAACAATTACTAGGACCGGCTTCCACCTGAATGTGACAAACCTACACATACACAACTCCACAATCAGGGACTTAAGGTTCATGGGGCTGGCGGTAGAGGCGCGGGGCTCGATTCACCTAAGCGACTCTTCCATACTGCTCGCACACCGGAAGTCACTGGCCGGGCTGCGCGTCCGCAGGAGACCCGACGGTCATGGGCAGCTCCTAAACATTCACAAACTCAGCATTCACGAAGCGAGGAACGGGTCCTTGACGTTCGGCCGTGACGTGCACGTCCGCGTGGGCGACCTCGTCGTGGACAACGCCGGCGCGTGTCCGACCGAGGACCGGGTGCGTAAGCTGACGGGCGCGCCTCCGACCGGTCGACTCAGCCAGGCGGAGCTCCAGGTGCTCCTGCAGCTGCGCCGGCGGTGCCCCGCCGACAGCCATGGCTGGCCGCCAACCTCCGGCGGCTGGCTGCTGCTGTACTGCGGGCTCGCCGGCCTGCTGGCTCTGGCTCTGGCTCTGGCTCTGGCGGCGGCGCTGTGCGCCCGGCGACGAAGACTGCGAGCTGCCCGGACCCGGTCGCGCCGGTCGCCTGCGCGCCGCCTCTCGTCGACGGAGCTGCGCCGGACCGACGCAGCCGGCCGCGGTCTCAACGGTCCGCAGACGCAGACGCCAGGCTCTGCGACGGACGGCCTCTACGAGCAGATCGAGGACCACCAACAGCCGTCTTCTCCGGCCGGTCCGGAGTCCCGACGGGGCCGGCCCCCGTCACTGAGGCCTCTCGAGGCGCCCCCACCCCCACCCGGAATGGAACTCGACGGGCAGCGGCTGTCGGCGGTGGAAATGCTGGATAATGAATTGTACGCCCCCACGACGTATCGGGGGCCACAGTGACGTCGTTGTGACGGCATTGGTGCCATCGGCAAGGACGTTAAACGGTCGAAACCGATGTTGTGTGCGTTGCTGCAGCGACCCCTGTTCACTTGGTCGATTTTGTATCTATGTTTGTGTGCTGTTCTCATGCATCAATGCTGGGGTAAGGGTGCTGAACCGATATGGCCGGTGCTAGCGTACGTACGTGACAGCCGTCTTCGTTTTTTCGAATTTGTATCAGCATTAGTGAGTTCTTTTCATTCATGTTTTCTTCGAGGCCAGCGGTGCATTTTCGTCACTGGCAGCGCATGAACAAGCATATTTAGGCGCTGGCCAGATTTCATGCAGGAAACAGCACAGATGTGCCCACAGAAGAGTGCAAACGCCAAGCTTTGGGCCCGTGCTTGATGTTGAAAGTGGACTAGCAGCCTTAATCTGCAAATATTTCCATGCCATGATGGTGGAAATGTTTTCCGTTCCGGCGCACACGGGTTGCTGTGCTGTGCAATACAGTATGTTGGAGCGCTTCGTATTTGACAGGACATGAATGAAAAATAAAAAATTGGCAGTCATGAAAAAACACCTATGTTTTGTGACGCATTCTGTGTGCACCGCAACGGATACGCGACATGAAATGAGCCATAACTCAGCACATGCAGCGCCAACTGTCCCAAAATTCGTTCATTGTCATCGACTCAAATTACAGAATGCCGGCACCATAGTTTCCCCAACGTCGGCCCCTCAGGGGATGCGTGACGTCCGATCGAGACGGGCTATCGTGACGGGTGGGGGCGTGACGGGCGTGTCCGATCGAGACGGGCTACACAACACAAACAAAATGCCGCGAAGAGTCTCTGATGGCATGTGAATGACTACACTAGACCGATACATACAAAGGCAAGTCAAAGGGAACGATGTTAGTAACTGAGCCGGGAGCCAATGGCCAATGGAAGTGTCGTGAGACAATGGACAATGGTGAAGTTGTGAGCCAATGGCGTTGGACCGGCCCACATGACTTTATGGTCTGATATCGTTTGTGCCCGATCCTTGAGTGTTTGTTTCTTGCCAAAACGCTGTCTGCATTATATTTTTCCTTCCACTCAATATTTGCCTTAAGCTTATCATTTGCTTGACTAAACACTCGCCTTTAACTTATGTTTTGCCTTAAACTTATCATTTGCCTTAAGGCCATCAGTTTCCTTCAGCTTATCATTTGCCGACTGATCCCGCCGTTTGAATCACCTAGCCTGAGGCATTCCTGAGACGACAGTTAGGTGACGTTAGCAGCATTTCCTCAGCATTTTTTGCTCTCCGAGGCAATTAGGTGACGTAAGGGTTACCCAAGAATCCATGCAAGAAATCGTGATAATTTAACATTTTGAGACGATTCCAGGCTTAATCTCAAACCAGTGAGCTAGAATAGTTTTAAAATTAGGGTTGGAGTGAAAAATGAATTCGCAAAAGGACCGTACAAGAGTGAGAAATTCAATTCACAACAGGTGGAACTGATGCGCTAGTGAGAGACGCTTTAGCAAAGCAACTCATACATTTTTAATTGGCATGGACGTAGCATCATGAGCCTGACAAAACTGCTTTGTTTATTAACATCTTAGGCCATTAAAGTGAAACATAATACATTATAGCATAGTAATTCCATAACAGTGTAATGATCATAAAAACAATGTAACACCAATGACCTGATGCCGCACTTTGCACTTCCCTTCAACAGCATTTTTTAACACAAAACAAAGCAAAGGAATTCAACGGCAAAACAACAGCAGAAAATTCAACAAGCATAAAGCATTAAAAAAAAATTGGACTCCTGCACATCAGACCATCACCAAGGCAAACACAGAAACATACCTTTGCCTTCTGTTAAGATTGGGCCAGGGAAGACAACATTATGTCACTGTTTATTACAAAATACCCAATGCTTATTTCCATGAAAGTAGCTTAACCATGCCTAACCTAAAGAGGCCCTGCCTCATCTTATCGAAATACGTGGAGTAAAATTCCTTCCCACGCTTTGCTGGTGTTTGTACCAGTCTCCGCTTTCTCGGTGTGTTGGTGAGACCCAAAAAATTGGGGATGCGTGGAAACCTTGTATTTGACACACAGCTGCCGATTGTGATGCATTTTGTTAACAAACCAAACTTGAAGCATGCATGCGACTGGAGTCGCTGGGGCTCTCAATCTTAAAGATACCTGACGCTCATGCTCTGTGCATACATAGACATGATTCAGATGTGGGTGAGGCAGGACATAGTCATTGGTGTGCAGGTTGATGGTTTTAAGTGAGCTCGGTTTTGGATGACATCTGAAAGCCTCGGATGGGGAAATATGGGTTTGGCATATGCGATTAGACAATATCGGGCAGAAGCGAAAAATTTACATAAAATATGGGAAAAGGAGTGAAAAATTTATCCTCATAGGGTGTTGCTTTACGCCCAAAGTTGGCAATCCTAGGACACTGTCTCAAACCCAACCACGATGGTGGTTAAGCTTAATTTAAGGACCTTTACGCCATCCAGTCAGCGGCCTCATCTTCCTCATTTTCAGGATCACGTATAAGCCGCCATGGCCCCAGCTCAGACAAAACGCCTTATACGCTCAAAGGTTGGTGCCTTCGTGCGTTGCTCCGAGCACACCGATTCTTGGCATCCCTATAAATGAGCGTTGTGTTTCAGCAAACGCCTGCGCCAATTCAAGTATCATGCTCAGTAGGCGCAATCTTTGACAAAGTGCCCACGCAATCTGGGCAACATTCTCAAGGCTTGAGGATTGGAAGTCGACTTCCGCCGCGGAAAGCATCGACGACGCTCTAGTTACCACCATGGAAAGTAGCAACACAACCAGCCTGAGCAGCCGCACGCGTCATGAAGCATAACCTTCCCCAGACGCTTCCACATCATCTCATTTCCCCGTGTTTTCCCCGGTGACCCTGCTGTCTGGCCCGATCTTTCGGTGCAGCCTCCCCATTCCGTGGCCGGACGCTGCGGGCCTCTGGCGACACGAGCCGACCGCGCGTAGGGGAGGGGTTCTGACACGCAGGAAGTGTCCGATAAAGGCGTCCGCCGGCAGCCGATGCTGACGCCGCTCGCGTCGGCAGACGAAGGGTGGCGCTCTTAGTCCTGGGGAGATTTGCCTCCTTCCCGGGCGCTGAAGTCGGCGGACACCATCCATTAGTACTGGTCAGGTGCTGTATGAGACTGGCGTTCATGTACTAACGCCCGGCGTAGGGTGCGACGGGGGGGGGGGGCACAGTGGATAGCCTGGCTGTACGGTGCGTTACCTGGCCCTGGCGTACGAAAGCGCACGTTTGTGAACCACATGTGAACGGCATAACGGTCCCCAACATCACCATGACGTCATGCGCGTCCAACGTCACTCCGGCACAGCCCGACGCGGCACCAGCACAACCTGAAGTTACACGAGCACAGCCCGACGCGGCACCAGCATAGCCCGGCGCGACACCAGCACAGCCCGACGCGGCACCAGCACAGCCCGACGCGGCACCAGCATAGCCCGACCGACACAAGCACAGCCCGGCACGACACCACCACAGCCCGGCACGACACCAGCACAGCCCGGCACGACACCACCACAGCCCGACCGACACCAGCACAGCCTGGCGTGGCACCAGCACAGTCCGACGCGTTCGACACGGCACCAGTTCAGCTCGGCGCCACCTCAGATTCTGTGTTTCTCGCTGCGTGTCATACGCTGTCAACTGCCCTGCTATTTCATTCCTTGGAGCACGCGGCACACGAATACAGCATGGATTTGAGCGTGCTTAACATGAAGCCGGCTGCGAGGTTCTTATCATGTTATTGTTAATGCAAGCGTCGGTGATGCAAGCGTCGGTGAGCTACGCGGATCTAACCTCAATTTCAGAAAATTTTGCAAGTTCAGCAGCCAAGAACAGGTTAACATGGTCCAGCGCAGCTCAGTCCAATCCAGCCCAGCTCAGTTTAGTTCAGCTCAGCTCAGCTCAGCTCAGCTCAGCTCAGCTCAACTCAGCTCAGCTCAGCTCAGCTCGGCTCGGCTCAGCTCAGCTCAGTTCAGCTCACCCCGGCCTAGCCTGGTCTGACCCAGCCAGTCGTGACGCCCTTTTACAGACTGAAGCTTTTCACCCACTAATGGTGGTGGCTTCGTGGGCTTATCAGCAATCATATATACATTGTTTGGATATTTGCTGACACCTGTTTAGTCGGGAACGATTTTCCGATAATATTGCAATAAATACAACATAGGCTAGGAGTGATAATCATGAGAAACAAAAAATGTGCAAGCTGCGGAAAAGTTGTGCAGCTAGGAGTGAATCTAGATGTTGGCGAACAGCATCACTCAGATCCAGATATCCAGATCCAGATATCCAGATATCCAGATATAGGAGTGTTAGCAGTCAAGCCAAACATCGGAAATCCGTGGCATCGCAGCGACATGAGATCAGAGCATTTGGTGGAGGAAGCCTGCGGCAGCCGTTGGCGCGTTTGTCAGCGCAAACCAAAACAAACAGCGCCCGCTTTCTCGTTTTAGGGATTGCTGTCAGACCACCGCAACTGCGGCAGTTGAAACAAGAAGCCAGCTGCACGGCGTAAGTGAATGCGCTGGGCTTCAGTCTACCAGGCTACAGTCTTAATGCTGCTTGACCAGCGGGTTCGTAAGTAATCGGCCAGTGTCAAAGGGAAGCGGGCATTGTCATCTTGACCAAAACAAACGGCGCGCAAATCAGAGGCGCACGCACTTAGTGGTTCTAGGAGGTACGTGCCTTCCACCCCCTCCCCCCACCCTTTAACGAATTTTCTCGAATTTAGGGCAGTGGATGTGACGAGATGTTGACAGCTACAAACACCAGAAAGACACGTAAATATAATGTGATCAGAAAGATGCCATATAGTGTTTCGACATGCTACACATTGCGTGCTACTCCGGTGTGGTAAGCTTGGTTTTAGTATAAAAAAACAAGAAAAGTTGTGACATCCCTCATTGTGAAATCCTGCATACCCCCTGTGCCGAATGCAGCACCGCGTTGTCAGAAATGGCTGATATGGGGCCGTGAGAGCTACTCAGATGCTTATAAACAACGAACACCAGCCCTTTGTGACCAGTATGCACTGACAGCATTCGCCTTTTCATAGAGTTTCGGTTACAGTCACCCAACCGGTAAACGCTGATCAAATCTACACTTATAAATATCTTCGGCTATAATATATAAGGATATCCAGACGGACATCTAGTCAGTCAGTTTGAAGAGTCAGAAGAAATTAGACGGGAGTGGAGATCAGTGAGTTATTTACACACGAATGCGCATGCGTCGCACACGCTGCGCTATAATTTCTTTCAACACGTTCGCTATTCCGGGAGGTGAAGCTTGATCGAGATGGCGCATAAAAGCGAGGTAAAAAATTATGCGTTCAAAAACATGCCACAAACAATAATTTTGGGTTGCTGAAAACACAACTTCAGAGTTCGTGGAATTGTGCACAAGCACACAACTGCAAATGAAGGCAAGGTTTTTCAGTTGTAAAGACTAAAATTCCGGATAATTTCAGCCAAAATCTTG